TACGATATTTTGAATCAGCAAATACTTGCACCATATAGAGACCAATTGAACCGGGATCAACTGAAAGCATGTGAAGAATGTATTGAGTCATTCAAACTAATATCTGAGTGGTATTTCTCAGATTACAACTCCTTGAAATGTTTCTATCCTGACCTAATTCATACTAAACCAACAATATCATTGATATATCCTAGTGATTCAGTAGTGCAAATAAAATTAGCAATCCCAGTAAGAAATGAACAGACTATCACATTTCAGGAAAATGGTGCGAGATATCTTCTTGGAATGCGTATAGTAGATGATTATGCTTCATATATGAATATTCTACGGATGTCATTCCATAAAGTCTATTTTGAAACAGATTGGAAGACTACAATGGTCTCATTCAAATTCGCAGAGCTCACTAATTCACCCAGAGTACTTTTCAGGCATCCGATGAGAATTGAAACTGAACTTCTCCTAAAAACATTTGAGGGATTTGCAACATACAATAACGTCAGAATATATGGGAATGCCAAGATTTCACAAGATTTTCCGTATCTTAAAAATAGATTCAGTACAGTGATACAATTCAGTGATGACTACAAATTTAAAGACAACAACGATTTACCTGAATTAAAACAGATAGAAGAACCAAAAAAGGAAAAGAATCAAATACAAGTACCACAAAAGAAAAAGAATACAATGCTAGTTATAGTGATATTATTTGGAGTAGTGATAGTATTGGTAGCGTTTGTAAACTACAAAATAATGAAGAAAACAGTTTAATCAGAGATTTTAGTGGTTTATTGGTATCAATTCAATTGACCTAATTGAACAACGATATTCTTATGCTCTCCTTCTGATCATCGATATAATCCACCATTGTTACAATATCACATGTTACAATTCAATATGGATACATTAATAAACCCATGCAACATGATCCTGAATTACAAAATGAAGTTGTTTCTAGAATTATGTTGCATACTGGCTTGCTCAACATCAAAAACGGACTAATATTTGCTGCTACGTTGAATATTAGTGGAAATCTGACACCGTTGCAACTTGAATTCCTGACATTCAAAATTGACATTCTCCTGGTATTGAATACACTGGTATACATCGCATTTGTCTTCACATTGTTGAATAAGGATGTTGACGCTTATAGAAACGCATTGGTGATTCTATCAATCTTCTTCCTATTAATTGTATTCAATACAATACAATCATTAATGCAATTAGTAGGGGAAGAGCTAACTACAAGTACCATNTATGTTGCATACTGGCTTGCTCAACATCAAAAACGGACTAATATTTGCTGCTACGTTGAATATTAGTGGAAATCTGACACCGTTGCAACTTGAATTCCTGACATTCAAAATTGACATTCTCCTGGTATTGAATACACTGGTATACATCGCATTTGTCTTCACATTGTTGAATAAGGATGTTGACGCTTATAGAAACGCATTGGTGATTCTATCAATCTTCTTCCTATTAATTGTATTCAATACAATACAATCATTAATGCAATTAGTAGGGGAAGAGCTAACTACAAGTACCATCTTATACATATTGCTATTTGTAGTGTTAATTATCGAGATGTATTTCGCAGTGGTATTCTACAAGAGAATCGGATTTTACTCAATAAGCTACATTTCATCACATACAAAAACTCTAAAGATTATTGATGCATATCAAAAGAGGAGCAAAGTATTTGCACTGCGTATTGGATATTCAATATTGCTAGCATCTATACTGTATGTATTGCTGGCCGAACTCTTATTGCTAGTATCATTCAAAGACATCACAGTTATTGCAGAAAGTCGAATTCTTAATCATGCAGGTGCTTTTAGCATCAGGTTTGTAGGCTTTGTACTTGATTTATCAATACTGCTCACTATTTCGTTAAGGTTCAATGAAGAGAATAGAAAACAGAGGCACATTTTAATATGTCTTGTATTTGCCCAAATACTCCTCACATGCACTATTCTCACATTACAGGCAATAATTCTCAAAGGTGAGTTTACACAGTATGATACTGGTGTAATAATTGCAGTGATTTATGATTCTTATTCCATTGTTGTGATATGGCAAGAATCAAAAGCATTGGGTACTGGACTAAAAGAAATACTCAAAGATACCTCACGAGACACCACAAGATTTCCACTGTAAACCACATTATATCTCATCAATAACGGTGTTAAAATTGTTTAAATGGTGCTGTATGTTCTATTTCCTAATGTAATACTCGTATATTTCCCATTTACTATGAACATTTCTGTTTAAAATAACAAATTGCCTATTTTTTTATTGCATATTAGCATCAAAAATGTCAATACAATCGTTTACTGTAGGTAAAAGGCAACAATATGCTAAAAACAGTCCAAGTATGCCTTATCTAGACGATTCATAAACTCTTTATAACCTTTTTCTATCTCATCATTGACATTTAATCTGATCTAAAATTATTATAAGCGATAGATTTAAAACTCTTTAACTATTCAAGCGCCTTAGTCATTCTCTCCTTGTACTTTTCAATAGATCCCTTCTCTTTAACAACACTCACGCAACTTCCTCTAACCAGTAACCTATTCTCACTCCTTAGATTCTGATACTCATCACGTGTCATCTTCGTAAATTCATGAATCGTAGACTCCTGAATCAATTGCTTCCCTGATAACTTGTTTTTAGCTCTTCTCAATGCTTCTTTAGCGTGGGAT